GATACCTGTATCTGTATCTACCTTATTAGATACCTGTATCTGTATCTGCATTATTAGATACCTGTATCTGTATCTACCTTATTAGATATCTGTATCTGTATCTTGCCTCATTGAATACTTTATTGATCTCATAAGGAGCAATTACTTCCAGTACAGTCTGAACCAAGATCATACAAACAAAAACACATAGACACACCAGTTCAGGGAAAACCCTCGAACCGTTTTTCTTCGGAACAAAGATACATCAGGATACATCTTTTGTTCCTTTTTTTCCTCTCTTTTTTTTTGTCCCCCCGGTCAGGTTTGGCATTAACCATCTTACTTCATAAATATTTCTGGAAATCAAATGTCCGTCCAGAAATTTGACGGCAAAAAATCTTTTTTAAAGAGATCAGGGGATCCAGAATGGCCGACCGGACATGTAAAACATGCAGAAACACAACAGGTGGATCTGGCTGAGGGGTTTCCTTTAAACACCACCATCACTCTGAATGTGTCAACAGGAACAGGGTGAGAAAAACATCCAACATGGAGGCAGTTTGCCCAAAAAAGGCCGGAGCCTGATGGCGGTGGGTTTCCAATGCATATAGGGTCACCATTCGGTGGGCCATTAAAGTCTTGTTTTAAACACGCTGACGGCTATTTAACAGAAGAATCGTGAGGGCTGGGCTTCTTTTTCATTTCCACCATGAAGCCTGGGAATATTCAGCTGATACAGAGCTGTTGCATCTCAAAGAAGGCAGTCAGAGTAAGAATTTAGGGTGATTTTAGCTGAAAACGACTAATGTTTTGTGTGTGTGTGTGTGTGTGTGTGTTTTCTGACATAAAAACAGACAAAAGTATGTTGAAAATCATTGGCTCCGTGATGTAAACTGAGATATGTTGGTGGTAACTGCTCTTCGTTGTTTATCAGTAGAGACACACCACATTTTGGTGGTTTCCGGTGGAGAAACCTGTCTAAATGAGCTCAATCTCCCATAAATCCACGTCTGTTTATCAACAGGCAGCTGTCAAAGGTGGGGAAACGGGCTCTTGGGTGTCGTGTTTTGGTGTAACTGGCGTTAACAACCGCCAACGGTTCTGCTTTCGACTAACGGAAATCCACCCGGAAGCTCGCGGCCGTTGACGGCTCGCGACCGTTGACGCCACAGGGTCGCGTGCCGGCTGATGGCGGTTGACGGCCGTTAAACAGCCATCATCAGCCATTGTTGCTTCCGGGGTAACCCCCTGCTTACCTTCATCCTCTCCCGGCACTGGGACGGGGTTCGCTCGTAGCCCAGCTCCGCCAGGGCTCTGGACACCCGCTCGTACATGGCGGGACCGGGGGCCTTGCCGGAGAACACGGTGCCGGCCACCTCCAGCTGCTGCATCCGGGCCTCCGTCAGCCTCTCGTTGCCCCACACCGCGATGAGCGCGTTGGTCTCGGAGGGCGTCCATGACATCCCTCGGCAAGCCGTGAAGCTGTTGGAGGAGGACGAGGCCGCCGTCCTGCCCGCGGTCCCGGAGCCCACGTTCAGAGGCGAGAAGCGGTTGGGCGTCGAGGGGTCGGAGTGGTACTGGTTACTGTCGCTCAGGTCCTCCGACTCCGGGGACGGCACCTCGGTTTTGGGTATCTTTAACGGCGTCGTTTTCTCCGGAGACAGCTCCGCGTTACTGGACGCCGCCATGTTGCTTCTGTTGCTAAGGGGAGGGGAGCGAAGGTGACGTCACGGCCTCACGTCCGGCGGTTGGGGGGAAACCCCGGCCTGGATCCGGGGGAGTTACGGGCCCGGGGAATGTTTATGTTTGTGTTTATGTTTATGTTTATGCATTTGGCAGACGCTTTTATCCAAAGCGACTTACAGAATAGACACGATATTACATTTCTCATCACTATGACAATGGGTCCAGAGGCGGTTAGGCCTGATTTCTCACCATTCTTCTTCTTCTTCTTCTTCTTCTTCTTCTTCTTCTTCTTCTTCTT